TATGCATTTAAAATGAAGAAGAGTTCTCCTAGCATAGATTTATATAATAACATTCGATCAGTAGACATCATTTAAAAAACAGGAGGAAGACCTTACATGTAAGGTCCCCGCTGCGTAAAACCAGCCAGTACACAATCTGGCTACGTTAGTGTGTTAGCGCATGCGCAATATCTCACCAGAGGAGTTATATTTTGTGATGAATATGCATTTAAAATGGTTAGGGGGTATCTCAGCATAGATTTCCTTAATAACCTTTTATCAGTAGACCTGCATTTGTAATTAGGAGAGCGCCCTAGGATGTAGTGTACAAAAACCTATTTAAGTTTATGCCTTCGTGTCCTTCCCCTTGCCTCCCTCGCTCACACCCTCGCTTGCCTCCCTCGCTCACACCCTCGTTGACACCCTCGCTCAGCCTACTTCTTCTTCTACCGCCCCAGCTATCTTCTCTGCTGCCTTTCCTCAGTTTCTCATCCCCTCTCTCTCAAAGCAAGCTATATTATAATGTTTGCCTCAGACGGCACTGCACGCCTAACACGGTGCGCGCGCATGCGCAATATTTTCCGAGAAAAATCGTATTTGGCAAAGATTTTAAATGAAGAGGAGTTATCCTAGCGTAGATTTCTATGATAACATTCCATCAGTAGACATCATTTAATAAATAGGAGGAAGACCTTGCATGTAATGTCCCCGCTGCGTATGCAGGCGACAGATATCCACATTCAAGTGCGGCCTTAAGCTACCGAAGGCCTATGGCCCCGCTGGCGCAATAATACACCGTGCAAGTGATTCAGTCTACCTTTCTTTGCTGGAGGCGGTATAGCTTACAACCAAGGTTTACCACACACTACTATATAGGAGGCCTTAGGTCCCCTTTATACACAATACTATATATGTGGCCTTGGTGGGCTGCCAGCATATACACTATACTACAATACTATATAGATGGCATTATGCTACCGTCATATACGATACTATATATGTGGGTCCCCATCATAAACTATTCTATTATTACAATACTATATAGGTGGCCTTAGGCCCCCGCCATACAAATACTATATATGTGGCTTTGGGCCCCCATCATACACTATTATTATAATTTTATATAGGTGGCCTTAGGCCTCCGTCATATACAATACTATATATGTGGCCCTGGGCCCCCATACACGATTCTATTATTACAATACTATATAGGTGGCCTTCGGCCCCCGTCACACAAATACTATATAATTGGCTTTAGGCCCCCATATTACACTATTATTACAATTCTATATAAATGGCCTTAGGCACCCTTCATACAAATTCTATATATGTGGCCTTGGGCCCCATCATATACTATTATTACAATTCTATATAGGTGGCATTAGGCCTCCGTCATACAAATACTATAAATGTGGTCTTGGGCCCCCATACACTATTTTATTATTACAATACTATATAGGTGGCCTTAGGCCCCCGTCAAACAAATACTATATATGTTGCCTTGGGCCCACAGCATACACTATTATTACAATACTATATAGGTGGCCTTAGGCCCCCGTCAAACAAATACTATATATGTGTACTTGGGTCCCCAAGCATACACTATTATTACAATTCTATATAGGTGGCCTTAGGCCCCCGTCATACAAATACTATATATGTGGCGTTGGGCCCTCATCATACACTATTATTACAATTCTATATAGGTGGCCTTAGGCCCCCGTCATACAAATACTATATATGTGGCATTGGGCCCCCATCATACACTATTACTACAATTCTATATAGATGGCCTTAGGCCCCCGTCATACAAATATAACGACGGCAACACTATAACGTGCTACTAATAACTTACCGAGTGCTGCACT